GAAGCAAGTAACAGGAAGGGAGTTCCACTGTCAGGAAGTGCGAAAGAAGCTGTCGGAGTAGAAGAGGCAGTTACATTTAACTATTTCGACAGTGAAAGAGTGGGACCGAGATGCCAGCCTAGTAGCACGCTTAAATTCATGCAGTTGGAGCACCAGCTCATCAAAGCAATTGCCATGAAAATATTGGTAGAAAAGGGGAGCCACATCACGTCTGTGAGAAAGTGACTGTAATCGAGATGCCAGGTCAGGATCTAAAACATTGCATATCCGCTTTTGGAGTTTTTCGGGAACCTCTAGATGAACAGCGGGCACATAGACCATATATGACATCATCACAAACGGATAGTTGATATTTCTAGGGCATATAATGGGACACCTTTAGAAACAAAGAAAAGAGTACTGAAATGTCATGTAGTATCAGTCCTCTTCTATGGCAGTGAATGCTGCGCAATCTCCAGATTAAGAAGAGATTTGAAGTAACATAAATCTGGTTCTACAGAAGGATGCTGAGGACACCATGAACAAAGCATGTGAGCAACGACAAAGTTTTAGAGAAAATAGCAACCAAAAGAACATTCATATTAACATAAGAGACAGTTAAAAATTCTAGAGTACATAATAAGGAAAGCGGACATTATTTACATTATTTGGAATGTTATCCTCATCTTTGTCGCCATATTTATTACAATGTTTCGGCCGTTGTACGCTCCGGCCTTCTTCAGGTGGTTGGAATGTCGAACTGGTGTAGACTGTTCTAGTTTCACGTGCCATCTTTAATGGATGTCAGTTATCAGTTATCGCCTGTTAATTTTCCCTCTGAAAGTTCTCCACTGCCTTAGCCGGGTATTGAACTCCCAATTTTGGGTCTTGTCACTGGATCTAACTAACGTCTTTATCCACTGTGCCATGTGTACTTGAGGACATGACACGTGGAACTAGAACAGTCTACCCCAGTGAGCGATATAAAGGGTTCAGTTCGACATTCCAACCACCTGAAGAGGACAATAGTCCGAATAATATAAATGGTGTACATAATACCTCATCTCAGAAATATAGACAGATACTGAAGCGCCGAAATGTTGTGATAAATATGGCGACAAAGATGAGAACAATAGTCCGAATTATGTAAATAGTGTACATAATGCCTCATCTCAGAAATATAGACAGATAGTGAAGGGTCGAAACGTTGTGATAAATATGGCAACAAAGATGAGGACAATAGTCCGAATAATGTAAATAGTGTATATAATACCTCATCTCAGAAATATAGACAGATACTAAAGGAAAAAGGGGTTGGGAAATTTGACACTCGGAAGACATATATAAGGCAAGAGTGACAGAGCTTGTGTAAATAGATGACGAAATGGGGTTTATAAAAAAGAGAAAATTTACGAATATGTTTCTACGGAAGTATGCTGAGAATATTATGGATCGTATGTCGAAGTTCTAGAGATGATGGCGTGACGACATCCCCCGCTCGTCCATCGCTCACTGCACCTATGGGTACATCTAAGGTCAGCTGTGTCTACATATACACCCGACTACCCATGTTCACAGGTTTTTTTCCACTTGTCTGTAATCTAATTCACAACGAATAACGACAATTGCTTTTCAAGACTCTCTGGTTGGGAAATAGCAAAAATACAAATTCTCGCTTTAGCTGCTTATGTTTTCCTTCGGATGAACTGTTATCTCCCTAACTGCTCGCTGTTACTTTCAACCTTGCCGCCCGACAGCTACTCACTCACTAGTCACCTACCTACTTACTGACTTCCTGCTTCTCTCTGCTTATATGGTTGTTGGCTGGGTTCTGACCACCCCTATCCGTCTGTTTGTGTTCCGGAACAAGGCACCACCCGAAAGCCAGATGGGTGGTCAAATCTTCAAAAGATTCTACTTTTATGATTATCTAAAATTATTAACCACATTTTATGGTTGCCAATTCAAAGGCAGCTGGAGACAGAAATCCTGAAAAACTCTGACACTTAATTTGACTCAAAGATGGACTGGAGACGAATTTCCTGAAATCTTTGGGTACTTGAATTGTCTCAAAGGAAAATGAATCTATCTACTTAATGATGTGTGGGAAATCGTGTTGTTACAATGGCAACAAAAAGGAGATGGCACGTAGAACTATAACAATTGCACGTCGACTGGTGAGAACCAAAAATGGTTATGAATAATTTGATTACAAGCAGAATTGTTCATAACCATTTTTGGTTCTGATCAGTCGAGGTTCAATTGAAATACACCGAAACGAAGTTGCATTGTTCATAAACATTTTTGGTTCTCACCAGTCGAGGTGCAATTGATATGCACCGAAACGAAGTTGCATTGTTCATAACCATTTTTGGTTCTCACCAGTCGAGGTGCAATTGATATGCACCGAAACGAAGTTGCATTGTTCATAACCATTTTTGGTTCTCACCAGTCGAGGTGCAATTGATATGCACCGAAACGAAGTTGCATTGTTCATAACCAATTTTGGTTCTCACCAGTCGAGGTGCAATTGATATGCACCGAAACGAAGTTTGCATTGTTCATAACCAATTTTGGTTCTCACCAGTCGAGGTGCAATTGATATGCACCGAAACGAATTTGCATTGTTCATAACCAATTTTGGTTCTCACCAGTCGAGGTGCAATTGATATGCACCGAAACGAAGTTGCATTGTTCATAACCATTTTTGATTCTCACCAGTCGAGGTGCAATTGATATGCACCGAAACGAAGTTGCATTGTTCATAACCATTTTTGGTTCTCACCAGTCGAAGTGCAATTGAAATGCACCGAAACGAGATTGCATCTTTAGTGCGTAAACTGTATTTGTCTATATGATAAAATTTTAATAAATTATATATATATATATATATATATGTGTGTGTGTGTGTGTGTGTGTGTGTGTGTGTGTGTGTGTGTGTGTGTGTGTGTGTGTGTGTGTGTGTGTGTATTTAAACATATTGTTAAATATAACAGGCAATTGCATGTCTATTTTATCTGATCATGAGCCGTTCTTAACTCCGTCTGTTGGCTTTAATTTCGGGTGAAAATAAAGACAAAATTTCCAACATTTGGAAATTTTTTTATTAACCTTGATCTAAGTTTTCTTAGAAAAACATATGCATAATATTAGACAGATATTAGTTGATAACACAACAATATTCACATATACACTCAGTAAAGAAAAACTTCAGATATTGGAGGCCATCTACATTAAAAGAAAGCAACCCACACTCAACAAAATTACATTTCAAACCAGTCGCATAGCAATCTTCTATGTGAACATAACAGAATTTGATGGTGAATATATTTGTTTAAATGTCCGTATAACCACTCTGAAGATGGCTCATGATCAGACATAATAGACATTCATTGATTTTATATTTAACAATATATGTTTAAATGATGATCTGCAAACCAATACTATATATATATATATATATATATATATATATATATATATATATATATATATATATATATATATTATTATTTTTTAAATATGATTCCTTCGCTACATAAGAGTTCTCATATTTCAAAAACTGAAAACCTCAATATAATTATTAAAATTAAATTGAGTTAAATTATCAAGCCCTGTTTCATACTCAAGCGAAAATTTCTGCACATATATATATATATATATATATATATATATATATATATATATATATATATATATATATATGTAAGCAAATGTAAATGGATATAGATCCGACAGAATGAAGAAAAATTTGGAAAAAACAAACAAAAATCCTTAAATGCAATTATATTTGTTTAAAATGAATGAAATGTCGACGCCTGACGTTTCGGTTTAATAAACCTTCTTCAGGACAATATTCATTAAAATACAATTCAGTTCAATTTGACAAAGTCGATGGACATAACAAACAAGTCTTATCCAAATACGTTTTGAAAGCGTCGCCCATGTGACGACAACGTGACCATGCTAAATGGAAAGCTGATCATTTTAAAAATTTTCAGTTATCTGTTTTATATATATATATATATATATATATACAGCGTGTCTATAAAGTTCGTGTGCACTTTAAAAAATTTATAACTTTATTTGTATTTGCGATAGAAATAATCTGTAAAAATTGTTATAAAGTTTAATGTACCTAGTTGTATGTATAGCTAAAATAACTAATGTGATTTCAGGCATTACAGTAAATCAGTTGGTAAATGTTTTCCGTGAACTGCAAAATCGTATTACTCTTTGTATTGCTAATGATGGAAGACATGTGGAAACTTAAATAAAATTTCAATAAAATCTTAAAAATATAGATTTACTTCTTTTCTAATCCTTTTTTACAAATTATTTCTGTCGCAAATACAAATATAGTATATATATATATATATATATATATATATATATATATATATATATATATATATATACGACTATTTCGTAATTTGTCTTGCATTCTAGTGTTTGTGTTTGCATAAGATTTTATATATTTTAAAAAACCGTTAATTTCGGAGAGCTTCTAAAACACGCAATGTATATAATGTTTATATACGTACATTATATATATGTTTCCAAGGTTGTCATAGTCGGGGGTGATAGGGGAACACGCTCCCAGTCTAAAAATCTTTCTGTGACATGCGTCTCAAATAACCTCTAACAATTAAGTCCAGCTCCAATCGTAGAATGGGCGAAGGCGGACAACTGGCGCGTCATAACCAGCAGCTTCGGGTAGATAGAGCTCGACAGCCCAGGAAGGCAGTCCATCTAGAGGAAGAAAACCCCTGATTTTAAACATCCAGTGCCTCGCTATCATTTCCAACGAAACACGAAAAAGGCTATGAAAGAAAATCCACCCTGTAATGGAGCCCCGAAGGCGGTTGGATGTCAACACTGACAAATTTCCGCCAGTTACAACAGCCAAGTCGGCCCTAAATATAATGACCTGTATTCATTTGTGCAGCACTGAATGACGTTTAAACAAAGTAGAGGAGCGGCGGGGTGGAAGACAGAATGTAAAAGAAAGTATTTATTTGTTAAAGAAAAAGAAAAGAACAAAAGAAAAATGTCAGGAAGGAAGGAAGGAAGGCAAAAAGAAAGAAAGAAAGAAAGAAAGAAAGAAAGAAAGAAAGAAAGAAAGAAAGAAAGAAAGAAAGAAAAAATACAAAAGTAAGGAAGAAAGGAAGGAAAGGAAAACGGACAAAAAAAGAAGAATGAAGAGATGTAACGAAAGGAAGAAAAAAGAAGAAATAAAAATGTAAGGAAGGAAGAAAGAAAAAGAAAAAAAAGAAAGGAAAGAAGAAATAAAAGAAGAAAAGGATGGAAGAAAACGACGAAAAGAAAGGTAAGAAATTAAAAAAGGAAGAAGAAAAGAAAAAGAAGAAGAAAGAAAGAAAGAAAAAAAGAAAGAAAGAAAGGGAATAAAGACATGAAAAAAGTAGGAAAAAGAAGAAGAAAGAAAGAAAGGATTTAAAGAAAAGAATAAAGAAAAATGGAAGGAAAGAAAGAAATGAAGACGGAAGGAGAAAGAAAGAAAGAAAGAAAGAAAGAAAGAAAGAAAGAAAAATGGGAGGAAGGAAATGTAATGAGTGAAAAATAATGGAAGAAAAAGAAGAAAAATTTAAGAAAAGGCGAAAATGAAGAAGAGAGGATAAAGAACAAAAAACAATGTAAAGAAGGAAAAATAAATAAAGGAAGGAAGGAAATGGAGAAAGAAGGAAAACAAAAATGAAAGAATTTAAGGAAAAAGAAAGAATGAAAGGAAAAATGAAGAGGAAAGAAAGTAACAATTGACTGAAGAAAGAAACAAATAAAAAGAAAGGCAAAAACGAAACAAAGGCATGAAAATGGTAGGAACAAAAGAAATGAAAAAGTAAAACTAATAATGAAAAGAATAGTATATATTTTAGGGCATATAAATAGTAGGTCTTTACTAGATTAAATATTTTTAAATATTTTTATATGTTTATGTTAAATATGTAACCTGTAGGTGATTTTACTTGCTTCGTCTAATTATTCTTGATTACGCATCATTTCTCTTATAAATTCCCCTCGTTTTTAGTTTGCACCCCCCATTTTTTTTTCTCTCTCTCATCTTGTCTTTTCTTGTATACATAAAGTTACTCATGCAAAGCAGACGGGAATTTTCACATATGTATCGGCAGTATGAATTGGCTGGATTTTAAGTTTAGATCTTATCGTTTTGTTTTTTATTGTGCTTAGTGTCACCACAAATGTATCCACACGTTTCCGGTGTCTGTTTTTGTAATTTTAATTTTAGGTCAGCGAATCGGTAGTGATTTATGCATCTGAAAATAATTCATATTTATCTGTATCTCACTCATTTAAACCGTTATTTAACTCCTCGCTTTAAAACTTCTCTCTATTAAATTTTAATCTCCACCTTCACCTTTAGGTCTTTTCTATCCCTCTTTCTTCTATTACACCCTCTCTCTAGAGCATTCATACATTTCCCCTCTTACACTTGTTTCCCATTCCCACACATACACTCTCAATAAAATTTAATTTTTTATAGCCGGAGTTATATTTTCCGATTTCTCTTTGAATTTGAAGGTCTGATGAATTGCATCGTGATTACGATTCCAATGTAATAAATTATAACCATGGAATATTAGTGTTTGAGCCTTTTATATTATATTCTTACTCTGTCCTGGACATTGAGTTCCATCTGGATCTTCTTGGGAATTTATATATATATATATATATATATATATATATATATATATATATATATAAACTAATAATATACACGAATGTCTCAGGGTTTTCCTTCCTGTAAATGGACTGCCTTGCTGGAGTTTCTATTCCATCTACCCGAATCAGTTGGTTATGAGGCGCCAAGTGTCCACCTTCACCTATACTCCGGCTAGGAGCTGTCGAAAGCTATTTCAGTCTTATGCCAATGAAGCATTTTATAGACAGTGGAAATTCGTCCCCACTATCAACACCGGCTATGACAACCTATATATAATGTAGGTGTATAAACAATATATATGTATTACGTGTTGTAGACTCGAAAATGTATACATTGCAAAAACCGTAGAGAAACATTTGCCCAAATCTAACATTAATAGGAACTTTTTTTAAACATGGGGGGTGCCACTGGTATGCAGGGTGTTAAAGAGAGTGAAACTGGGAGAAAATATTGGGCATAAATTAGAGGCGATTGAGGAAAAGATAAAAGATGAACGGGAATCAGATCAACAGAAGATGACGATTGACGTTGCATTTGAATTTTTGAAGATTGTAGTTATCAGGAAAGCAAGGGAAAGGAAGTTCCACTGTCGAGATGTGCGAGAAAAGAAACTGTTGGAGTAGAAGTGACGGTTACAGTTAACTATTTCAACAGTAAAAGGGTGGGACCAAGATGCCAATCTAGTCGCGCGTTTAAATTCATGTAGTCGGGTCACCAGGGAAAAAAAAGCTCGTCTGAACAGTTGCCATGAAAATATTTGTAGAAAAGACAAAAGGAAGCCACAACACGTCTGTGAGAAAGTGACTGAAGCCGAGATACCAACCCAGGACTGATTATATTGCAGACCCTTCTTTGGATTTTGTCGAGAACCTCAAGATGAACAGCAGGGGCACCAGACCAGATATGGCAAGAATATTTAATGCATGGACGACTGGTAGATTTGTAGATGTGTAAGATGGATTCTGACAAAAAAAAACTTCTGGCACGACACAGTGACCCAACTTTCCTTGCAATAGATGCAGCTATTGAGTTAATGTAGTTTTTTCACCTCAAGTCAGTCTAAAATGTGAAGCAAAGATGACGCAGTGAGACGCTCTCCCGGAGTTGTGCATCAATCATGATGATGGTGGGCAGAGAAGTTTCTCTATCGTGGTTAAATGAGTGCACTTTCGTTTTGGCGTCATAAAAATGTACAAGCCATTTTCTGCCCCATTTAACCACTGACCGGCGTTGTTAACTTTGTCAGAGCTGCCCGATTTAATATTCAGACATGAGTAAATGGTAGTGTTAACTGTATAGATGCCTACTTGGAAACTGGTGACCTCAGGAAGATCATTGATAAAGAACAGAAATACGTATATTAAATAACGCAAAAAACAAGTACCCTATATGGAAAATTCAACCTATAGTCATATATATATATATATATATATATATATATATATATATGGTCTAAAATTATTATTATTATTATTATGATAATAATAAAATAATTCTAAATTTCGTGTTACATAAGAGGAAGAGGATTAGCATATATATTATTATTATTATATATGCATGTATATATATATATATATATATATATATATATATGTGTGTATGTATGTTTTATGAGAACACACACACACACATATATATATATATATATATATATATATATATATATATATATATATATATATATATAGTTTATCACCTAAAAGTTATTTTAGTAGATATCAATATTGGAATAGACACTCCGTTCATTTATTGCACAGTATATTTATTTATTTTCGTCTATCTTCCTGAATATTTGAGTTATTCTTAAAGAAAAATATTTGCTCTCCGTCCGACAGGATAAGAACCTGCGTCCGCCGTGGCAGGAGAAACCGACGTAGGATACGACATGCTTTAGACCGACTCAGCTAAGGACTGCGTCGCAATCCAATATTTTCGAAAATTTCACATTTTCATCATCGGGGATAATTTTTCCATTAAAGGTAAACTCCAAGACGAAATAAAACATTCAGCCTAGCAACATCAAATCTATCTGACAACAAATTAAACATAATGATCGCGTTATTCAATGAATTGTTAGTAAGTTAATGCCTTATTAAGTCTTGTTAGTGAAGAGATTTCTTCATTAATTACATTAACATTACTAATTAATTTTCTGTATAATTACCTCTTTATGATAGACATATACTGCTCAATTTAATATATATTTATATATATATATATATATATATATATAGAGAGAGAGAGAGAGAGAGAGAGAGAGAGAGAGTAAACTTTCATTTATATGTTTGATTGAATGTTGACTCTGAAATTGTTTGCATGTTCTTTATTCACTTCTTCTAAACACCTTACAATTTACCTTTTAGTGGGAGGCGGGAATATGTAGAAACAGTCGCTGCACATTCTTAGTCCCCGTAAAAGTAAACCTGTAGGAATATAAGTAAAGTTCAACATTTGTCAGTTACATTCAATGAAACATAAATATAATGTGAGGATTGTCACTATTTGGTATTGAACGCTGTGTCCACACTGTTTACATTTATATACGCTCTATCCCGGATACTGTGATTTTTTGCGCATATATATATATATATATATATATATATATATAAGCGAAGAAAGAAAGAAATGAACTAATGAAGAAAGAAAGAAAGAAAAAAGAAAGAAGGAAGGAAATGAACTAAAGAAGGAAGAAAAAAGAAGAATAAATAAATGAAAGAACTAAAAGAAAGAAAGAAATGAACTAACGAAGAAAGAAAAAGACGAAAAGAGAAAAGAATGAATGAACAACAAAAAGGAAGAAAGAAAGATAAAAAGAAAAAAACAAAGAAATGAACAAACGACGAAAGAAAGAGGGGGAAAGGAAACGAATGTGCGAACAGCCAAAAGAAAGAAAGAAAGAAAATAGAAGGAAAAGGGAAATGAATGAACGATTAGCAGAAAGGAAGAAAGAAAGATGAAAATTAAGAAATAAAGAGATGAACTAACGACGAAAGAAAGGGAGGAAAAAAGATGAATGAACGAACAGCCAAAGAAACAAACAAACAAAAAAGTGAATTCTCAAAGAATGGAAGAAAGAGGGGGAAAAGAAACGAACAAAGAAAGAAAGAAAGAAAGAAAGAAAGAAAGAAAGAAAGAGTAGGAAAAGAAACAATCCAAAGAAAGAAAGTAATAGTAATGAAGAAACGCTTTCGATCTGAAGCGGTCATATCGTCTGTATATGAATATGCCCGTGTTTCTCCGCGTTTGCCTGAATGGATGTGTTCGTGTGTTTTTCTAAGTGTACATGTGTGTGCATGTGCATGTGTGCATGTGCGTGTGTGTGTGTGTGTGTAAGCTTATATGTTTTGTGTATGTGTGTGTCTGTCTACATGTGTCTGTGAGTGGCGGGAGGCTAGTTTGTGCGTCTGTGTCGTTCGCGTGTGTGTGTCGTACGTGTATCGTCGTATGTGTGTTCAGCATCCTTCTCGGACTAATTCTTTGTTTCACTTGGAATGTTTGGCGCACTCTCAAAGAACAGCCTTCGTGTAATCAGAGTTGGATAAAGGCCAATAGATCTAATTCCGACCGAATTCCACTTGCCTGTCGACATGTGTGTCAAAATCCCTGCCCAACGCACTTCGCCGCTTTCACGTTTCGTTTATGGCTTAAAGCTCATCCGAAACCTGAGCGTCTGTAGGATTTGAGAACCGTCCAATATGACCAGATTTGCAATGCCGGATTAAAGGAAGTCAATTCGTACACCTGCAGATTATGAAATTCGGTAAAATGGATTTTTTTTTTCATATTCCCATTGTATCGGGTGGGGATCAACTCAAGTCCCAACTGTGTAGTTCATACCCTTTCCAGTCACCCCCAACAACACAGACAGTGTGGACATTGAAATCAACACTGCATGAGGAGTGTCAGTTTCGACGCGACAGATATTGATTATATCTATAAACGATCTCGAATATTAAGCACTCTTTTCCTATAAATATAGCAAATTATATATTAAGAAATGGACAAAGTCCGACAATTTACTTATTAAAGACATTTTTATGTTTAACGTTCTTTTTATAGATACAAGTATTTAAGTAAATGCTCTGTTTATAATAAACAGTATTAAATAACATTTATCGGCCTGAATGTACGAGAAATTTTCATGGAAAATATTCGTCCTTTGACAGGATTCGAACCTGCATCCTATACGGAACCGAATTTACGCTGACGTGCCTTAACCGACTCGGCCACAAAGGAGCGTTCGGTAGGCAAGGTCGAATTTACTGCTTATAAACTTCAATCTTCCATGAATCTCGTACATTCATAACTTTAAACTTTTGTTTACATTTGATACGTCAGATTCAGGCCGGTAAATGTTATTTAATACTGTTTATTATAAACAGAGCATTTACTTAAATACTTGTATCTATAAAAAAGAACGTTAAACATAAAAATGTCTTTAATATATAGCAAAATATATATATATATATATATATATATATATATTATTTATTTGCCCCGACAAGCCTTCACCACTTTAATCAAATCACTTGTGTGAGTTTTCTGGCGGTTTACCTTGATTCGTTCTTATCCCCACAGTTAGATCCTAATGTACAGCCAGTTAGATCAGGGCTACAGGAATGTAAGATGCCCATGTATTAAGATATAAAATACAAAAGAAAAGCAACTTGTCAGCAGTCAATATACCACATAACACCCCTGAGCGCTTAGCTTTGGAGTGGGTAGAATGGAGATAAACGTGTTTTAGTGGACTCAGCAATTTTCAATCTGCTTGTCTGAATCATCTTCAAGAAGCGAGAGCAAGATCTAAAAGGTCAGCCAATCTAACAGTGATCTCATCTCAAAATCTTCACTCTTGCTCTATATGTGGCCTCCTTTGTAAATCACTAGTAGCGGGTCTTAAATGCCAGTTAAGATTATTGCACGAAGTCTCGTAACTGAATCAACTAAGCTGTCAGATCTTCATACGTCGAAACCGACAGGAGAGACCATATATATATATATATATATATATATATATATATATATATCAGTGGACATTAAGGTCAACTCCCAGCAGCGAGAGCCTGTTTCATATTTAAGCGCAATCTTCAGGTCTAAGATTGCGTTTAAGCATGAAACAGATTGTCACCGCTCAGTATTGACATCAATGTCCACTTTTATATTTACATACGCTTTATTCCTGATATTGAGCATTTTAACCTATAAATAAAGCATGCCTTAAGATAGATAGATAGATAGATAGATAGATATAAATAGATGGACAGATATAAAAGGTGGAGATAGATAGATAGATAGATAGATAGATAGATAGATAGATATTTGTGTATTTAGGCAGCAAATTCTTTTTTAGGCATGTCTGATTAAATATATTACAGACATTATGTCTGCTTATTTTTAACATAATCCGTCCATACTCATGGATAACCTTCCGTGAATTAATATTAAAGGATGAGAGAAATGTCTTTAATTGTTTAAATTTCTTTCGATCTTTTTCCAAGATCATCTTAAGAGGTGAAAGTAGTAACACAAAACTGTGTATTGCTATTCATTACTGTATTTTTTTTCTTTTTGCTTTTAAATGCAACGGTTTACTGTTGTTTAGCATTCAAGCATCAGTCGGAGACTTTACCCCTGAGCTATCAGCGCCTGGTAGAGAGGAAGGCGAATCTTTGCGTATTTATTCTTTGAATAAACACGCTAGTAACCTAGAGGGCTCAATTCATAGAAGAGCTTTGCATTATCAGCAGTAATAGTCACTGTTTACAAATTCGCGCTTTTCTCTCCAGAGTGCTCGACCGAAATTTATTTTGGGGGCGACGTATATATATATATATATAGAGAGAGAGAGAGAGAGGGGGGAGGAAGGGAGAAAAATTGAAGGATTGATTGATTGTGTTTAGCCGCATATCAACCTTTTGCCGAAATCGAAATATTTTGTACATAATTTTGTAGTTTCAGATTAAACGAATGTTTCTTTTTTCGATATATAATTTATAGAGGATAAAATGTATTGTTAGTAGTTGATAAGACTTTTTTAATGTTGCATTGATTTTTATTTTATTACAAAAATATATTGTTGGTAATTTTATTACAAAAAATGTTCTGTTGATTTTTGAGGTTTACTATTTGTCTATAAGTGGGACCCTAACAGATGCTACCGCCACGGATCATGGAGAACCTGGGAATTAAGAGGTGGTTCCACGCTCCTCAAAACCTCCAATCTCCCGATCAGAGGCATTGCTGCCGGATGTAGTTTATCGTCATACCCAGGACTACAGTGAGAGTGTGTGTATATATGTGCCGTGAGTTTGTGTGTCGTATGCGTGTGTATGTGTGCGCGCGCTACAGGAAAGTTGAAGCAATTTAATAGATCGATCAATGCCATATTCGCGGGGCCTAAAATAAGCCGATACATATCTGTGGTAGATTTATAAGTCACCTAAAAAAAGTGTTACCTCCAAAGTAAATGCTTATAAACTCAAATATAAAAGACAAGTAACAGCGAACCGATTAAATGTTTAAAGACAAAAGTATAAACGATCAATATTTACCAATCAACGAAGCTAGGAAAGTATATATGTATACCTGGCCACTCGTATTCGTGAACACCCGTCTACTAGGGCGACTAGTGCAGATGCTTTCTCGGGCCGATTTGTGTTTATTCAACAGCTACAAAACCCACCTGTGGTTTATACCGCAACTATGCTGAGCAGACCTTAGTTACGGTTTCTGGGAAAGAGCCGGTTATCTAGCGTGATCATTTGAACAAGGCCAGCACGCTCAAGTCCTCGGCCACGATGACTTGTGACTTCGGGCTAGCACAGCTATCGACAGCTCCCGAGGTTTCCTTCTACCAAATTTCACTCACAAGGCTTGAGTCAACCCGTGGTATGGTTTTCGGGTACTTTCCAAAGATGCCGCACACTGGGATCGACCCCTTCAATCCGGAAGTCTCCTTCTTGACAAATCGACCACGGTGGGTCTCATGGTCAGAAAGCCAACGTTCTAACCACTCGGCCTATAAGAAATAGATTCATATACAAACGACCAATGATGGCCTACTTCTGAACCAAGTCATTGCTCAAAGACACAAATATAAACGAACATTTTTTTTCCTATCCGGAACCATGGAAATACTTATAGAGTCACACACGCATCACATGATAGACGTTCCGAAAGTAATGCCTCCTATTTATTTCCATGGAAACTACAAGGAGTATAATTACACTGTTTGGTCAGAAATCGAACGTTATAGAAAGGAAATTAAAGCTTTTCTTTCTTCGACGTGTTTTAAACGTCAAAAGCCACACATTTGAAATAAGACCTCACCGTGATCGGCCTGAAGTCCTCTACCTTTTTTTTTTTTTTTTTTTTTTTTTTTTGTAGCAGTTAGATACAGACTTGTTTTTACGCCGATTCGACATTTCCCGGTAAGATATAATTCGGGAAAATAATGCAGTTATTTCGATAGAGACTGATTTGATTTATAAAGCAAATGTCTCCTCACGATGAGAAGGTGAGAGCACATTGCTAGACATAGCTGCCAGACAATGAGAGAGAAAGATGGCAGAGTGGTTTATAAACTGTTAAATTCGGCTCTGTTGACATTTCTATTTGAGTAGATAGATAGATAGATAGATAGATAGATAGATAGATAGATAGATAGATAGATAGATAGATAGATAGATATGACGAAACTGAGATAGATAGATATGACGAAATTGAGTTAGATAGATAGATATGAATATACGAAGATAGAAAGATATTTACATAGGTAGATAAGAACAAACTGAGATACATGTGAAAATGCTGAGATAGATAGATAAATATAAAGAAACCATGATAGATAGATAGATAGATCGATAGATAGATAGATAGATAGATAGATATAGATAGATAGATATGACGAAACCGAGATAAGATAGATAGTTAGATAGATAGATAGTGAACAGTATTAGATAGATAGATAGATAGATAGATAGATAGATAGATAGATATGACGAAACTGATATAGATAGATATATAGATATGACGAAACCGAGATAGATAGATAGATAGATAGATAGATAGATAGATAGATAGATAGATAGATATGACGAAACTGAGATAGATAGATATATAGATATGACGAAACCGAGATAGATAGATAGATAGATAGATAGTGAATAGTATTAGATAGATAGATAGATAGATAGATAGATAGATAGATAGATAGATATGACGAAACTGAGATAGATAGATATATAGATATGACGAAACCGAGATAGATAGATAGATAGATAGATAGATAGATAGATAGATAGTGAATAGTATAGATAGATAGATAGATAGATAGATAGATAGATAGATAGATAGATAGTGAATAGTATTAGATAGATAGATAGATAGATAGATAGATAGATAGATAGATAGATAGATAGATAGATAATGGTGATTTTCTAAGCGCAGGTTAGACGTTGAACAAGGTCGAAAGTATGGGGTACCCAGGGAATATCGAACTCTCTATTCAGTCATAATTGTTCTAACGAAACAAGCTTGCTAACCATTACAACAAGTCGAAGAATGATTTTCTAAGCGTAGTCTAGATGTGACACAAGGCCGAAAGTATGAGGCACCCAATGAGGATCGAACTCAATAATGAATTCGATCGTAACTGATCTAGCGGGACAAGCTTGGCAACTATTACACCGTGTCAAAGTGGCTGTGATTTTCTAAGCGTAGCTTAGGTGTTTTATTTTCCGAACCTACTAAACTCCATTCAAAACATACTAGGAGAAAACACAAGCGTAATAACCTCATCCAGCTGTTAAAAAAAAGATTAATAATAATGGATGCCCTAATATTAAAAAGAAAGGGCCAATTCTTAATAATATTAGCTACGAACAAGGTCATATCGTGCTAACCGTGTTCGAAAAATAAAAACATCTCTATAACACATTAAAAGCATACACGTAACGCACACACTCAATTAAACTGAAAAAATCATGCTTGATAGGGGCTAAAAGTATAGCCGAAAGTGCTCGGAACTATAGAACATTTGGACAGTTTCTACACAATCTGTGACTCAAAAAGAAAGCTCTTGTGCGAACAGAAAAAATAAATAAATAAAAAGCTTAACCGTCGTACCCTCTCTGTCGTTTTTAATGAAACTTAGACATACATACATACGAACAGACTTAGATAGATAGATAGATAGATAGATAGATAGATAGATAGATACGTACATACATACATATGAACAGACTGCGATAGATATGAATAGATTGAGATAGCGAAGAGACTGAGATAGATAGATAACGACCGAGATAGATAGATAGATAGAGAGAGAGAGAGAGAGAGAGAGAGAGAGATAGATACGTACATACATACATATGAACAGACTGCGATAGATATGAATAGATTGAGATAGCGAAGAGACTGAGATAGATAGATAGATAACGACCGACTGAGATAGATAGATAGAGAGAGAGAGAGAGAGAGAGATAGATAGATAGATAGATAGATAGATAGATAGATAGATAGATAGATCATTTTGCTTGAAGCAGTAAATTTCGCTTTGTAAACAACATATCTCAGTGGATATGGGAATGATTTTTTATAACCAAGGTTTTTAAGTCCATAATTTTTACAAGAATTGACGTTCTGTATTTTTATAGATTGCTTTAGAAATGTTAATCGAGAGCCTTCAGCTAAAACGGCTCTTCACATCGAAGCACGTCAAAGTCTTGAATGCAAAGTAAATTTAAGTTTTTATTGAATCAATATATACATATATATATATATATATATATATATATATATATAATGTAATAATAACGTCAAGCTTTTATTACATTATATATATATACATATAGATACGCACGCATATATATATAGATACACAGACACACACATATATATATATATATGGAATACATATATGGAGTAAATATATACATGTCGATGTTGAAACTGTAAATCGCATCTATAACATATAAATCTATGCATAATGTAATTTATTGTGATATATAAATGTACATACATATTGAATGTGGATCAAAATTAAATTTAAATATGCATGCACACACACACGCACACACACACACACACACACACACACACACACAATATATATATATATATATATATATATATTCATTTCTAAACGATCTGTATAATGCAATGGTAAATTATGCAATGAAAAGTTTTTTTGGCGTTTATTTCAACTTACTCATGAAAATAGATAGATAGATAGATAGATAGATAGATAGATAGATAGATAGATAGATAGATACGGATTTATTTATTTATTTAGATAGATAGATAGATAGATAGATAGATAGATAGATAGATAGATATAAAGTCACTCCAAAAATGATGAATGTAAATCAAGTACTGACGATAATGGAGATTGCAAGTTGATTCGCGATTGACAACTATTGTTGCCATGACGACAGTATATTACTCGCTAAATGGAAAAGCGAAATGTAAGTCTGTATTCCCGAACATCACGTGGCACTTCCATCGCCTTCAGCCATTGAGTGAACGACACGATTCGACCAGGCACAACTTATCGACCTGTCCGCAAACGGTGTGGATTTGCGTGTAGACGGCCGAGGCTCGATAAACGGGTTGATTTTTCTTTTTTCTTTTTTTTTTAACAGATCTTCGATAATGTACCCTACAAAATAAACTTTTCGGCATAGGGGTAGATTGTTTAGTGGATGATTAAAACATTGCTTTGTGAATTTGGTGGGTTCAGTCCCTGGGCCGGGCAGTGGGTTCTTGGACTCAGTGGAAACAGAATGAGCATTATCAGTGCAGTACTAAAAATAAAAATTACACGTGATATCCGTAGACATGTTCAGTTGAAATAGAACAGTCTAGCCCCGGAGATTAAATAAAGAGTTCAGTCCGGAATTCTCCGTATGTTACCTGGATCTACATCTGATGAAGGCCGGAGAACACAACAACCGAAACTATGTGATAATAGTCAGTACATAAATAGTGTAAATAATGGCCATTATTTTCTTAAGGATCTAATAAATAAATTGCAATATATTCTTCCTTATTCGAATTAATGTTATCATTTTTAATTGTTAAAATATGATAGATACGAAGTTTCGGCCAAGTACACTCTGGTCATCTTCAAGTCTCAATTATTTTGGGCTATATGCGGTTTCTTCACCTATATATGACGCCTGCAAGAGGGACCTGAAAACTCACAGGCATCGACACTGCTAGTCAGGAACAGCTAGCGAACGATGGCAGCGGTTGCTGGCACCATTGTTGTTCAAGGAAGAGTCTTGACGCTCCGTCTATGATATCCTTATCCTTCTGTCGCCTCGATTCTCTTCTTCATCTTTGAGGAAATCGTCCAACATTCGCTGCCGTAAAGAAGGACAGATGTTACGTAACAGTTCAGTATTCTTTTCTTTGTTACCAAAGAAATCCTTGCAATACTCTGCCCAGCTTTTGGAATGCGTCCTTGGCCATCTTAATACATCTACGGATCTCACTATCGCACTTACCGTCCTCTGTCAAGACGCTTCCGGGACATTTAAACTTCCGCGTCTGCTTGATTCTAATTATCCCAACATGCACTTCCTCTTACTGATGACCATGCATTCTGCCTTTCTGGAGTTTATGCTTAGTCCTTTCTACTCACTCTCCGTCGCTACCTTCTCTAGGAGATTTTCTCATTTCTTTTACGTGTCTGCTATCAGTACTGCGTCATCTGCGTTATGTATAAAACATATGTTTACCCAAATAGTATAAAATTATGTAAAAAATATTTGAAGTTGAAGGCCTAAAATCGTATAAAAATATTTAGATTTCGGCAATCATAGAGGTGTTGATATAGCGTAAAAAAATACAGCCAATCATCTTTCTCTCTTCACTTGATCTTACCTCACTTCCTTTTTAAAACTTATTTCGCCAAATAAGAACGACGGAGACCAACTTCGTACAGTACGTACCAAAGTAGTCACTTCACGCCATGTTTGAAGAATGTTACAGATAATACAAATGACTTCATGATCAAATTTAAACCCAAGCAAGAAAACAATGCGTAACTTTTCAATTTAAGTCTTAAGTCTTCCTGGACGTTAACTGTGACAGGCGGTTAAAATTCTGAAATTTACTTTGACATTTTCTTCCAACGAGACAGATTAAAATATATTTAATGTCTGGTAACCAAGAAACGAAGGCGTCACTTACGCATTGCACTAAAAAGGGTAAAATCATAAACATATCCTAATTTCTGCAGCAATGTCGCGAGTTGGGAGTCCCTGGCAATTTCCCTGTCGGTGGGGCTTATAATACGCCTACTACATCACCTATAAAGGGATAATACCACCTCGCAAACGAACCACCCGCCGGGTGAATACTTGCCAACTTCGAGTTTAAATATAATTCATAGCTACCTTTTTTATTCTTTGTCTCTTCAGTCTTGTTTACGGATGAGACAACGTTTGGAAAAGATGGAATAAAAAAATTTACACAACCAACATTTGTGGACGGATTCCCATGGAAAAATACAGAGTAGTCACCAGCATCAGTTTACGATTAATGTGTTGCTTGGAATTGTGTTTGTATGGACTTTTGTTCTTATTTTGGTATGAGGAACCCGTCCCCAAAATTTCTAAAATTAGTTTTGATACACGATATATTCATTATTGACTTGATTGAGCTGAAATGATCATATATATATATATATATATAAAATCTCTAATCTTATAGTTAACAATGATAATTCAGCTCCTAGAACAAGATTAAATATGGCAAATATTATTTACGAATTTAAATGCTCACTAAGGAATTGTATTCCTGATCAATCAAAATTCGTAAATAATTATATAGGCCACACTACAACATGTTTGACACGCAGACTCACTCTACACCTGTCTGAAAATAGCTCAATTAGATCTCATTTAAATATTCATGGAGACCTACCGGACACTATTCGTAACATACTTGTTGACAACACTAATACAATAGCATCATCTACATGCAAAAAAAAGGCTAAAAATAATGGAAGCCTTATTAATAAAAACAAAAAAATCAACACTTAATAATATTTATTTTGAATATATATATATATATATATATATATATATATATATATATATATATATATATATATACAGCGTGTCCATAAAGTTCGTGTGCACTTTAAAAATTTATAACTTTATTTGTATTTGCAATAGAAATAATCTGTGAAAATCTTATAAAGCTTAATGTACCTAGTTTTAAGTATAGCTAAAATAACTAATGTGATTTCAGTCATTACTGTAAATCAGTTGGCCAATGTTTTCCGTGAACTGCAAAATCGTATTACTCTTTGTATTGCTAATGATGGAGGACACGTGGAAACTTAAATAAAATTTCAAAAAAACTTTTCAAAAAAACATTTCAAAAAATGTAGATTTCCTTCTTTCTAATCGTTTTTACAAATTATTTCTATCGCAAATACAAATGAAGTTATAAATTTTTTAAAGTGCACACGAACTTTATGGACACACCTGTATATAAAGAGAACTTCGGACAATTTCTAATGGAATTTCTTCGTATGAGAAGGGTTATTCGTAATTTGGAAAAGTCCATCATTAAAATTAATCGACACAAAATGTCTTCTGTTTTTAATAACATTTGCCTTAAAGAAAATGTGCTGTCTAAATACACACAAGTATATATAAAAACAACAGTCAATTAAATATAGTGTTCAAATTTTAATATTTTTATAGAGTTAAATTTCTGTACTTGTCTGATTAGGACCTCCTCATTTTATGCTTCTTACTCTATTCTTATTCTTTCTTGTTAACGACCATAGATTCTGTCCTTTTTGTTTCTATTACCCTTAAAACTTCCTCATTGAAAACATGTTCAGTCTATGTTATTGTAGAGGACCGTAGGGTGAACATATAAAGAACATGCGTGGGTTAAAAGTTCCTGCTAGCCGGTCCAACTACATGAGAATATTGGACTTTAATTAAGTCCAAAGAAGACAAAGAAAACAAACAAGACCGATAATTATATACAAACAAATATATGTATTAACAACAAGTTACAAGCACATGGACAGTTACAGTGAGTTTGTGTGGTGAATATTATGTGTGTATATTGTGGTGAGTGTTCGTACGTACGTGTATCGGTATTGTCTTTAGCGTGTTCCCAGAATTTGGGAAACGCTGTATTGGTGAGAGCTCACATATTGGTATTAGCTGAAATGAAGAAAGAAGGGAAAAGAATTACCTCACCTCCACGCGAGGTGGTATACGGCCCAAGGACCGAGGGAAAAAAGAGAGATCGAGGCAAAATGTCACCCAGTATTTATAGCGAGGGGAAAGAGACCCCTGGTGAAGGATTAAGGAACTAAGTAGGAGCTAAGTCCGACATTATTCTCACCATTCTTCTGTTGTCTCAGGTCTTCTCTTGGTCTGTGAGGAAATTTTCCAGCTTTATTTTTTCGAAAAAAAAGATACTCTGGAACTAATTTTTTTAGCGGATGTATTTCTCAAAAGTTGTTCGTCACCCGTCGCGAAGTAATATCA